AATAAGCCAGCAGGCTTGAAAGCCATCTGGGAGAGCAGCCACACACGTGTGTGCATGTACACACACACGCACAGCGCGGCTGCACAGCGCTTATTGCCTGTGGAAGACAGGCAAAGGAGCGAGCAGCTTCATCCTCTGATTCTCACCCTTGCTCTGCTTTCAGTATTATTCCCTCTCTGGTTACGCATGCTGGTAAAAGGGAATTTGTGCTCGACAGGTTGGACACCAAGTCTTGGGACAGAGCTCGTCTCATCCTAGGGAACGTGGCTGAAACAAGTCCAGGAACCTCCTTAAGCTGCCGAAGGAGCCCTGCAGAGACCGGAGAGGTGGGTAAAACCTGTCCCCATCTCCAGATACCCAGCTGGGTTTTCCACTTCTGAAGCACAGCTCCTTTTCAGTGCTAGAATTTGGGGTCACTTTCAATAACTCGCTCAAAAATCAGAAAAAAAAGCCGGAGATGCCTCTGAGTCACTGGCATGTTGTTACCAAGGACACTAAGGTTCTTGATTTTGAAGAAGAGATTAATTACATTCTACAAATAGACATTTTATCTGCATTGAAGAGCAGCAAGAGCTAGTTCTTTTAGCGTAGCTCATTATGTATCAGCAGGTAGTATTGTGACAGATGTAGGAATCCAGTCATATTGTCACTTGGGTTTAATCATCAGAAAGCTGTCTTCCCCGGGTCAGCTTCTAGTGAGGATTTGTAATATCTACATAGCACTTGGGGCTGGCTTCTTTATTGCTGGAGCCTGTATTCACTCGTCAGTCTCTCATTATGCATGTGCCAGTATTAATTGCATTTAGAAATGAGATTCTAAAGGAGAAGTGAGAGCTATTTAGACCTCCATTCAGCTTGAAAGACAGCAGCTTTCTGTGTGACAGCTCTCGAGATGCTCTTGTGCTCGGCTTTCTCTCCAGCTGAAAAGCAGGTGTTGGAGAGAGTTGGTGTCGGAGCCACTGTATCAGCACTGCCTTTTGTGCATGCCCAGACATTTATATAACCGACAGTATAATGACTCCGCAGAAGTGGCACAGAATTGACCCTTCTGGTACTGGATTCAAACAGAGCAAGGTAGAGAGTGGATCTGCTCAGTTACTATACAGATATAAGGGGGGAAACGATGCTGAGCCTTGTCTCCCGTGGCAAGAGGGGGGTTATTTTCTCGCTGGTGGGTTTGCGGGTTATTTATCAGCTCGGCTGTGCCTGCAGCACTTTGCAACTGTGTTTGTGGCCTTGCTAATGTATTTAAAGTCATACAGAAATTCAGCTGACACTTGTCTGTGCATGCCTGCTGCGCGCTGATTGCTCCAGCCCGGAGATGCAGAGCCGTGTGCCGCTGCTGCCGGCTGCCAGCCATGCCTGAGCGGTGGAAATGAGGAGGTCATGTCCTGCTTCCCAGAGGGGACTAAGCTGGAAGGTTAAATCCAGATGATGCCAAGCTACCAGCTCTGTTTTCTCCAGCCTGAAGTGCAGAGTCTGTTCTTGCCTTGCAGCACGGTATGTGGGATGCAATGAGGGTGTCTGCATGGGGGGGAGAGGTAGGCACAACAAACGTTCCCTCTCCCCATGGCCCTGGCTCCCAGTCCTAGGAAAACAACCCTTCTGGGGCCCAGGAAATTTGTGTCCAGACTGTTATGAGAGGGCTGAGAAAGCAGCAGTAAAGACAAATGCACATTTTGCTTCCCCAAAGTGCCTCTTTTGCTTTGCCATAGTCCAGCCCTGCCCCATGAAGTCCCCAACCTGTTCCCTCCCCAACAGCTCTCTATGGAGGACATCTCCCCTCAGAGACCTGGCTGTTCCCAGCAGGCTCCTTTGGGTGCTCCTGTGCTCCCTTGGGTGCTCAGTGCCCTGCATCCCTCCTGTGCTGGACCGGCACTGAGACCAAACCCTGGGCACCGGGTCAGCAGCATTTCTGCCTCCCCAATCCCCCGTATTGCTCAGGAGCAGGCAGTGAGCAGCTCCTGCCAGGAAGGGACCGGAGGGGAAGAACATGAGAAAGGCAAACAGAGCAGACATCAGTAACCAGCCCTGGCCCCCAGCCAGGAACTTCTCGTTAAATATTGCATAAAACAAAGGATAAATCACTGCTTTTTGAGGAAAACCAAGCTCCAAAACCCAAGAAGTCCCCTTGACCTTCCTGTCCCTCGATGGGAAGGTTAGTCCAGGGTCATGTTTCAGTTTGCTTTCCCCCTCTGGTGAGGGGGGATAGCAGACCTCACAGTGGGGCTGTTAGGAGGAAACCCTTCAAACCTCGCTTTTTGAGAGAGTGGCAGCCAGCTCCAGGGATCAACCCTAACCCCACGCGTCCACAGCTGAGCCCCCCAGCCCTGTGAGTGTGGGCCAAGGACAACCCGTGCTGTCCCTGGCAGCCTCAAGGCATATAAATAGAAGGTGGGACGTGAAGGAGGTCAAGTGAGCAGGGGATTTCACATAATCTGATCTTGCCTGTGCTGTTCATTTGTGTCCTTTGCCCAGGACACACGCTCTGCTTCGCACATGGGGACGTCAGAGGCAGAGGGACGCTCCTGCACCGAGACAGATTTATCCTGTGGAAAATGTGGGCTCCTGTCTTTTTCTTCACTGTGTGCTGATTTTCAGGGATGTCTTTAATCCAGCGGTCATCCAGACCAGTGCACATATGGAAAATCCTGGTCTTTTTTTGCTGTATGGGGCCATGGTGCCTGCCCAGCCTGAGCCTGGTCCTCTAGCTCTCCAAAATCCAGTTGGATCAAAACTGGATTGGGGCTCTGGTGCCTTTGGTCTGTTCATGTTCTGGAGGATGCTGTCTGCCCTTCACCGAGCCCATCTGAAGCCTCAGTTCTTTTGCCCTTGTCACCTGTACCACTTCTCCCCAGTCCCTGGCCAGCAGCACTTCTTTCTCTTGCTTCTCTTTTCCAAAATATGAAAGGCTGGAGACAAATTCTCTGCTGGTATAAAGCTGTCAGTGGAACTGCTCTGATTTGTGCCAGCACATAGTGAGGTGGGTAGATGGGAGTCCAAAATAGAGCAAGTAGAAAACCTCTTAATGGTCTTTAACGGTGAGAGAAATTAATCACTAAAAGAACTAATCTAGCGGTGTATGGCTTCTCTGTCGGCTGGTGTCTTTGCATCTAGACCAGGTGCCTGTCTGAAAGCTGCAGTGGGACCTGGAGGAAGCTTCTCCTGTCCATCCAGCTGTGAGTGTCCCTCATGCTCCCCGCAGCCCTGTGCCATGCCAGGGAGCCCTCAAGCTGAGTCCAGCCTCGAGCTGCTGCTGCTGGTGTCCCTCCCAACCCCAGCTTTTTTGGCTCCAGCCTCGATCCTACCTCCTCCTGCAAGGTTTTGTGCTTTCCCACTGCTTGCTCCTAACAGCAAGAACACAGTGGCTGAGCTGCAAATCGGTCCTGCAGCTCTGACACCTCCTCCCACACCTGCACGCTTTGCTTGTTCCTAAGAGGGTGCTGAGCCAGCGGCAGAGCTGCCCCCACACCCGTGTCCCAGGCACCCCGAAGGCAGCTCCCAGAGGCAGGGCTTGTGATGTGGCTGGGGCTGCCTCCCCGGGGCTGGGGACCTGGGCTGCCTGCACCCTGCCAGCACCGGTGCCATCGCTTCAGGTGACCTGTTCCTCAGCCATGTACCTACCCTGTGTGCGGGCAGTGCTGCCCACCTGCCCTGCAGCTTCCCAAGGGACAGACCTGCGGGCTGCCGGCTCTGCTGGCCTTGCCAGCCACCCCGTGTCCCCTGCCCAGAGACTGCTCTCACCTCTGCAGCGAGTGCATGTTTGCTCAGGCACTTAATGAGTCCTTAATTTAGCTGGTGCTGCAGGTAGCATGGGGAGGGCTGGGGGCACGTGGGCCAGGAGATGCCCTCCCTGCTTCCAGTCTAGTTTCTCCCTCCCCTGATTTAATTGGCTCATTAAGTGCCAATTTGACCTCCCCACTTTCAGATGTCTCCAGTCTCCACTGGTAAATAGATTTGTGAGTCTCTAGCAGAAACCTCCTCAAGCTGAGCCTGGCATCGGAGCAGGCGGCTGCACAGCAAGCGAGGGCGATGCTCAGCCCCATCGTGAGTGTGGCCCCGCTGCTGCTGAGCTGAAGCCAAGCGAGTGCTGAACAGGAACAAAACTCCCTCCTGAAAGACACGGGGAGCTGCAGGTCGTGGAAGCCGCAGCCACCGGCACCGTGCCCACGGCGCGGCAGGGATGCACCAAGCAGGAGGTGACCCTGCGCTCCGGTCGCAGCTTTGTCATTGCCTTCATGCGGGACTGCAGCAAGTCCCTTCCCATCTGCTCCCTGCCCATTGCCTCGGAGCCAGGACGTGTGTGAGTGTGTGCGAGCGTGTGCGCGGGCACAGAGCACAGCGCAACAGGGCCACGGCTGCGGGGTGGTGGCTGGTGGCTCTTCTGAGAGACAACATCTAGCTGGTGTTCTCTGTACCCAGACCCTCACCCAACCTCCCAGCACCCCAGGGATGGAGCGGGACCTCTCTGGGGCTATTTTATGCCAACTGAAGGTTTGCCAGTGGGGCGCTGCTGGCGTGTCACTGTCAGCCTGGTGATGTCCCCATGGCCGAGAGCGCTGCTCAGTCTCCTCCCCAGCTGAGGCATGAAGACAGACAGGCAGCCAGGCTGCTTGCCTGGATGGATAGCAGAGTACTGGACTGCTCCATTTGGGAAACACCTTGGTTGGTGCATGTAGAAACATCCCAGGAGTTCAGCCCTGTCCCTTTGCACCAGAAAGACAAGGGACCAATCCTGCATTTCTTCCTTACTTGCTCTGGTGCGACGGGAAGAAGTTAACAGCACATCGCACAAGGCTCCCCTCTGCCCAGCACAAGGGAACGTCTCCTGGTGTCGCTCAGAGGACTGAAACTAGAAGGAAACCAAATATCTCCAAGGACAGGTCTTAGGCTGAGTAGCAAGATCCTTCACCCCAGGACCACCCCTCAACCTTCCATCCCCAGCCCCAGGACCCTGAGGGGACAGGAAAGGGACGGGAAGGGGACAGGAGAGGACATACGGTTCAACTTTGTTGAAGAAGCGGCGCCGCAGCATCATGACCAGTGTGCCGAGGAGCAGGATGGTGGTGCACATGGCGCTTCCTCCATCACCATGCAGCGCTGCCAGCCCCTCGCATCCCTTGCAGAGGCACCGCTCGGCCCAGGGCTGTCACCTGTGCCCGGCTGGCCCGTCACACCGGCTGGCAGGCACCTCTCCCCAGCAGCTCCTGAAGGCTCTCAGGGATGGTTTTAGGAGGAATTAGGGCGGGATCAGACGTAATTAAGAGACGGCAAATGAGGACACTCTCCTCTGACCTTCGGGTGGGAGGGAGCGGAGTGGCTGGTCAGTGACCCTTTGAGTACTTAATTGCTTTGGCGTGTGGTGCTCCCGCCCCGGCTGGCCCCCAGCCCCGCACCTCGGCCAGGCGGGTGCTGGGGGTGACGTGTGATGGACCAAGCCCATTCCACCCTGTCCACTCCATATCCATCTCTCTGCCCCCACCAGTCCATGCCAGCACCCATCACCACCACGGCTGGGTGCTCCCCTCTTCTCCCCCCTTTACTGTGTGCCTCCTTCCCCTCTTTTCCCACCTTCCCCCACTCCTCCCTTTCTCTCCAGCTCCCATTTTCATTCTCCTGCCAGACCTTCGTCAACCTGCTCCCCTCTTCCAGGCTCTGGTAATCTGACAGGCTCAGACCTGCCTGTAATTCCCCGTGGACGTGTCTCAGCCAGCTGATCCTGAGACATTGTCTGTATCCTCCCCTCGCCCGGGCTCAGTTTGCCTCCTTCTCCCAGCTCTCCCATTGCACACGCACATTTCTCCCCACGGCAGGGCTCTGGCCCCACGGTCCCCTCCCAGATCTCTGTGCCCCTTTCCAGTGTCTCACCAGGGTAGATGTTCCCATCCAGGGGCGGTGGGTTGTTCCTCTTACACCAGCTCCGGTTTGGCCTTGGAGAGTGAGATGGGGGTGACATCGGATGGATGCTGGAGAAAAACCTCAAACCAGGCATTCTTTTGTAACTCAGCTGGGAAACAGCTTCCCCCTGCAAAAGGATTTTGAAACCAGAATGGAATCCAAGCAACGTAGATCAGTCCAGGTTCAATGTCTGGTTGGGTCTGAAAGAGAAAGCAAAGCTGAGCTTTCCAGGGAGCCTGGCTTTCCATCCCCATCCGGCCAGGGCCAGAGTTGCCTCCCAAGTCCTTCCATGGCAGGGGCCTGGTACAGCTGTGTTTAATGCCCTCTCAGTGGACATATCCTCTAGAAGTGCTCCAAACCTTAAAAACAACAGTCACAAACATGCCTTGAAATGTTAGTAAAACCAAATCCCTCTAAACCCGTCCAGTAAACAGTCCCCATCCCTGAACTTTGGGGTTGTCCGGGGGCAGAGGGGACAGATCCGACCTCACTGCTGGCACCAGCGGGATGGGAAACCTTCGTGAGAGTGGTGGAAGAAACATCCCAAGCATCTCCTCCAGCCAGATGGAAACAAGTGTGAATAATTTCTTTCCAAGTGGAAGTCAGGCCGGAGGGTGTGGAGCCACCTTACACAAGGCATTGGGGAACGCGTGGGGTGGCCGAGCCCGGCGTCCTGGCCAGCCACGCTGGAGCGTGCTGGGCTCCCAGGAGCACATTTCGGTATGCTGTGAAGTCACTGAAGCCAAATAAACAGCGGCTGCTGGCTGAACTGGAGCCCAAGAGGCTGGAAGGACCTTCTTTTCCCTGGCAGTAGGCAGTGCAGCTTTCGTAATCCCTGGGAGGACGTTTGCTGCTTGTAAATCCTTCTCCCCTCACCGAGGCCAGCCAGGCTGACACCAGGGAGGTCCCCGCTCTCGTGGCCCAGATGCTGTCTGAGGCCCTGAGAAAGAGCAGCCGCAAGGAGCTTGCTCCTTCCTGGGCTTGTTTATAACCGTGCAGTCCTCCAGACCCAAACAGAGGAGCGTAACTTGGGCCCCTCCAGGGTGCCACCATGGGCACGAGCCCTGAGTGCTTCCTGGGTGCCAAAGGGAGCCCGCTGCAGGGGACAATGCCTAAGTGCTGGTCCCTCCACTCGCTTGACATTGGGTGACCTCAGCGGCCAAAGCTGGCCCCGCGCGGGCGCGTATCACTTCCAAACACTCTTGATTGACGCCAAGAGATGCTCGGTTCAAATGCAAGGTAATGTGAGCAGATTAGTTAATGCTTCTTGCCCTAGCCCTTGAGAACAGCAAAGCAGGCTTAATGGGTTTTGAAGGCTTTTCTTTTTAAGATATGAATCAATGAAGCTGTAGAGGGAGCACGGGTAATGTGATCGGAATAAGAAACAGGGCTTGTCTTTGAACCGGAGCGAGGTCCCTGACGGTGTTTACTTCATGTCCTGGCACCAAATGCAAGATGACATGAATATATTAACTTGCTGGCTTTCCTGAGCAACCCCTGCCACGCTCAGACCAGCTTTAGGAAGGAAAAGAGCAGCAAAGAGAATCTGTTTGGAAGTGTCGACTTGTTTCCCAATAGCCCTGTCATCCTCGCTTACGGCTGAAGGGTCCAGCTGTGACAGGGGCTGTGCTCCTGCGGGTGGCTGGTTCCTGCCAGTGGGCGAGCTTGGCGTGGGGGGCGAAGGGGAAGGTGGTGACACCGGAGGCTGTTCAGGGTCTGAGGAAGTTTAACAGCTGGCTGATGCCTTGCCCATGCAGCCCCGTGGTGCTGGATCTGTCACCTGCTTCCTGAGTGCCTCTTGCTTCATCCCACCTGGTTGCATCACAAGGTTGCAGTTTCCTGAAACCCCAGGGTGGGACTAGGGGTTTTTGCAACAGTTCCCAGGCCAGGACCAGGCTGGCCTGCGTGGGAAGTACTCTCGAGGGCTGCCTTGGCTTCTCACCCTGCCCTGCCCTGCCCGGAGCGCCGAGCAGCACCCAGCCCCACTCCCAGGGCCCCTCTCTGCTTCCTTTTGTTCCCCTGGATTTCCTAATCCTTGGGGGTTTTTTAGATTGAGTCAGCTGTAGGGATTTTGGGAGGAGGGAGGTGGAAAGCTGACACAAGGTTTGAGAAGGTCAGAGGGAGGCTGCGCTGTCCCCATTGCACCCACCCACCTCCCCTCTGCCCGCTGCTTCCGAGGGTCCTGCTTGGGTGTCCTCATCCCATCCCACCGTCCCAGGCATCGCCCAAGCCCTGCTGTTGTGCTGGTCCCCAAGCTGCTGTCCCTGGCATCCCACATCATCCCGCTCCCACATGTGGGGGTCGAGCTGGAGGTTGGGGTGGCCCCAGGGTTGGGATCCCTTTGGGGAGCAGGGGGCTCAGGGCAGGGTCTTACAGGGTGGTATGCTTTAGGGACACCAGAGTCCTTGATTTCTGCACAAAGCCACATCTGTTGGGCTTTGACCCCAGAGCAGACAAACCCTATTTCTATGTAAGAGGGAGAGCCTGGGCTGGTTTGGTTCAAACGCATTCCCCGCCGGCTCCGGCAGCACCGCCTGAGGTCTGGTTTCAATCAGAGGAGGAATGTCTGCCCCCGGCTTTGCCCTGCATGAGCAGCCTGGGGGGAAACACCGCTCCCCGCCGTCAATTCCCCGGCCCAGCTCTTCTCAGGTGTGTTGAGGGCAAGGAGCTGGGGGAATCCCAGTCTCTCAGTACTACTGGTCTTAACAAATAAATTAGTGACCGAGCATGCCAGCAACACAGACAATGGCTGCATGATTAAACTGGGATCCCACAACATCCCGTGTGGGTTCACCGTCCCCACGTGATGGAGATTCAGGCACTGATGAAACCCCAGCTGGATCTGGGGGGGGGGG